TATCATATTCTTTGGTGGGATTGTCGATGAAGCAAACGTATATTTGCTATAACAATCGACTACGTTACATATTTTTTGTGCTTGAGTAGAGTTTTCAGACTACCAGTAAATCAGTAATATGAGATGTAGTCTTTGCTTGTCTTGTTCCTAATTATGCTCATATTCTATACAGCTTAGTCCAATCTTTCTCTCTCACACAAGGACAGAAAGCTCATCAAATTAAACAGATGTGTCCAAAATTGCGCAATCGGAGTGATGGCCAAAATATAAGAAAAGAGTGGTGGTGGTCGTCAAACGTTACTGGCTAATTACAGGCGTTAGGTTCTATTCTAATTACTTCGAGCTTTTGCTGCTGGTTTCGTGCATATACGAACACACGAAGACATACAAGCCCAAGCACATGCTTTGAGCTTGGCATAAAACTTGCACAAAATGAATTATTTGATACTTCATCAAAGCCAGTAAGTTTTCTTCCCTCGTTAGCTTAAATATGGCTGTAAGGATGATATCCTGCTCCGATGATGGTCGTCATATAACGGATGAAAGCTTAGTATGGAATCGAAGGGAATTGCCTCAAAAATGGCATCAATAAAAATGGTGTTGGGTTGAATTTCGAGTACATTACTTTTCAAATGTCTCAAATCGACACGACTCGAAGCATCTAGAGTCACTATTTTATACTAATCTTGTTGGTTTCTTCGAGCTGCGCTTATATATGGTTAACTTACTAATGTTTTTATGCAAATCCGGATTCAGTAGATGTTTATTTATAGTAAAGTAAATAAGTAAGTCTCATTGACAAACACGTCAATAACTTTCAGGAAAATTTAACAAGAATCCTATCAATGTAAATTTGAGGAAGGCGGCTTGTCAAATATTTATTTTTTGACAGGTTGCTTAGGTACCAAATACTATTTAGTATGAAGGCGAATCTGGTCATGATGGCAAAAGTTGCTTAGCTATTAGAAGTCAAGTTAAGAGGTCTAGTAAAGCAGTGAGTCTACTAATCCAATGCGCGGAAATAAAAGGTTTTTGGTCTTTGTTACAGATACTCATATACGAAGAATAGCCTCAGCCTGAGTCAATTCATGTATTCAACAGCAAGAAGTACTTGAATATTTATTCTGGCTATGTTTATTAAAAATATTACTTCAGCAGTAGATTTTCATTTTACACCCTGAAAAACATGAGCACATGCAAGCTTAATATAAAGTATAATGTGGAGCCTACGATTCCTGACCTCGAACCCTCTCTTCCTTTGTTCCACTCACGTTGTGAATAATGCGAAATTAAGGCTAAATAAAAAATTAATTATGGCCTCGGCTGAGGACTGCAACGGCAAAATAATGGACAGATCAACTATCACTGCCTCAAGCTCGTTAAAGCTAATGCTAATTCACACATAAAAGCGAGAAAATTATAGCAGTAAATAAATGCTTGCTCAGGATGAACCATTTTAAAAAATTTGGAACCTTTTAAAGTGCATCATTAAAGAATAGTTAACAATAAGCGCCATCAAAAGAAATTTCTTGGTAAATCGGGGGGTATTTTGAATTCTTGTGTGTAAGACCTACTCGACAATATCCTGAAATAGGATTGTTTTTAGAGACTCTCGAATCAACTCCTTGGTCTGTAAGACAAAGCTCTCATGATTCTTGCATTCAGGCAGAAATAGTGGTTCCTCTTCCAAAGTTTTCGACTCCAAACTGAAGTCGGATACATCTCGATCCGATTGAACAGTAGACTGTGTCTCTCTATAAATGAAAGGTAACCATGTCTGTGGAACCATGTCCTGGAAGAGCCACAGCTCAACTCGTGGCAGATTGGCTGAGACTGAAACAACATAGTCCGCAAGTCCGGTTAACTCTTCGACCAGCTGACACAAGCCTGGTCCAAACTCCAGGGCTGATTGATCGTTTGGCTTTGACTTCGTGCTGAAGTTGATCCGGGAAATCTGAGCAGGCGCCTGAGATACCAGTCTGCCTCGCTGGACATAACAAAAAAATGCATGAATGCATTTATAAATTGGCAAAAGTAAATAATAATTCTTTACTTAAGCGTGATTAAAATCCTGAATATACAGGAGCTAAAGCTATATATTCAAAATTAAGCTTTATTCGAACAAAGTTGGGACTTATAAACATAATATTTATATCGAGGTGAAGTAGCTACCAGATTCTCAATACATGCTCACAAGGGATAAACATATATATAATCAGTTAGAACGGTACATACCAAATTGATTGACAGAAGAGGTGAGTTTTCTGGTGGTCTTTTAACGGCTCCTTCCCTTGCATCCTTCTCAACTTTTGTCAATGCCGAGTCTCCTAAGTTAGGGGAAGTAAAAAGTGGGACGTAGAGCGGGCTCCAAGGAGCTGGTGCTCCTGTGCTGGTCAATAAATGAAGCAATTCGAGCAAACCTTGCTCTACAAGGGCACGCACAAAAAAGCCCATCAGCTGGGCCAAGCAGTTCCAAAAAGAGCGCATACGTTGCTCACGAAGTAACTGGACAAGAGTAATATAAGTGAAAGTAGATTCGATATTACATATAGGCTAATATAGAAAAATAACGAGTAAGAGTGATCCAATGGTGAGAAACTTTCAACAGAATATAAATACCAAACATAAAAGTAACTATCTTGCATCACAATTCATTATTTGTGCTCGAAAACTTTCACCATGGTAAATATTTCCTTGGTGAAAAACGGTATATGATGACAAATCCTACATTTGAAACCATGGGGTGATCTAAGTCTAGACTAAGTTATAAAATCTGAAAAATAAACTGAATTGGCCATTAATTAATCTTGATCACAACCAAGAT